GTAAGGCACTTGTTTCTACTAGCTTCTTGTTACTACTAGTAAGGCACATGTTACTACTAGCGTGGCACTTGTTACTTGTTACTAGTAGTTTCTGTAGTGCCTTTGACAATTCTATTTCTCTTAGTCGAATTTCTGTCGACACTCTATCTTCACTTTGGCGCTGCTTTGGAGTCTGGGCTACCTCAGCTGCAGGTCCTCGCTCCCGACATATTAAGTGTTTACCCCTCCTGCGCCTTCGTTGGATGTCAAGAGAGCCTTTCAGTTCTGACCGGGGAACCCGGATCCAATTTCCCTTTCCCCTCCAAAAATGAACATGTGCAAATGCGTGCAGACTTCCCCATCCCGTCAATTTTCATAGTTTCCCACATGTCGAACATTTGTTTACTTTAGTTCTTGGCTTACTAGTAGTAACAGGTGCCTTACTAGTAGTAACATCGCTGTCTGTTCGGCAATCCTACAATCAGCCTGCTGTCCGACCTTCTGCACAGCAACGTCGGAAGGCACCGAACGCTTGAGCGAAACAGAATGCCCAGAGAGGAGTGCAGCAAGACAGCATGTTGTGGCCTTCGTTCATTTGAGACATGTACCTCACTCAGGCGTCTCCATTCGACAAAAAATGCTGGCAACTCCAGCAAAACAAGTACTGCGAGGAAGTACTTCCTAAGTTTGTGGGCAACGGACCACGGAGCCCACCGCCTTACACAGTTCATATTTCCCATTAAACCAGCAAACAAAGGAGTCACAGCGAGGGGAAACATCTATCAAGGAGCAATCAACAGGAGGCAGGACACACCACAAGAAGAAAAAAACAGAAACCTTAAGGACTAAAGGCAACAAACATGTCAATCAGCGACGTAAATGCATACCACTACAACCACCACCCACTCAACAAGAAGGAACAAACGGAGACTGTGAACTTGTCCACTTTTTTTTGCCTCTGCCTAGTCAGAGTGAAAACACGGTTCTGAGGGGGTGATTGAAAGATTTCTTAAGGGCATCCAAATGTACGAATCGCGTTAAAAAACGGACTCACAATTTTGGTTTCCTCCAACTCCAACAACAAGAAATGCAAACAACAGGAACAACAACATAAACATCAAACACGACGAGGACAACGACGACGACAAGGAGAAAACAATGACAAACGACAAGTCTTACTGCTATTCCCCAACAGGTCTCTTCTCCTTTCAAACGATTTTGGCAAACGACCCATTGTACGTCTGACTCCCCCAATCAAGCAAAAATTGTTTGTCAAAAACATGCCACTGTTGGGAATCGGCAGCCCATTCTATTCGACATCAAGGCAATGCAAAGTTTAATGTGGGCAAACTCGAGTCAAAGAACTGCCCAACAGGGCAAACACGATTGCAACAGCAATAAAATGTATCTCCACTTCCCTTGTGTGTGTGTGTTGAGGATGCTCACCATGGAATTATCGTCAATGCCCAGCAACAGTCGTTTACCTACACACCAAAAGAATAAAACAAACAGTGTATTGAATAGACCGTAATAGACCTTTCACTGTTTCACTTACGACTTGATTGTCGGAAATGAGAAAACCGAAGGAAGGAGTCCGAAGGCACAGAGTAGGGAGACAGAGACGAAGAAAGGCGAGTGGGGAGCCAAAAACAGGGGAGCCAAAACACACAAGGAGACAAAACGCGATGACGGAAGAAGTATTGCCATAGGCAAGGACTGTATCAAGGGTATTTTCAGGGCTTCGTCAAGAGAAACTCTGCCGCGTGCTTTCAAACTCATACTTGTCAGGTACCAGCGCTTTCATGCAAGGTGGGTCCGTCTTGGGCTAGCACAACCCTATAAAAAAATAGAAAAACAAACCAAAGGCACAGCAGCACAGCAACAGCACCACAGCAGGGTAGAAGGCAAGCGAACACAGTCGACAGGTTCTCCGACTGAGCAGTGTAAATCGTGTACGAGGAAAGGACAAAACAGAGGGTACTTAGGGACTATAGTGTATCCATGTGGCGTATCACCATGCCCCATGTATCTCAATCCGAATGCGGTGCGGTTCCATCTGGAGTTCATCATTGAGTGCTCTGAATCTTTAGCAGAGCGTCTCTGAACTTGCAATAGGGAAAGGCATAAAAAGGAAAGAAGAAAAGTAGAAAGAGACATAGCTAGGGCAGCTAGGGTATATCTGGGTCTTGCCTGCAGTAGCACGAATGGGTAGGGCCCCTTCTCCTGGCATGGAAATCAAGTGAATCCAAGCCAAAGTCTATACTGCTCAATGTGTATAGAAGGGAACACATTTGAGCTGAACACATCCACTCTCCGTTGGGCCGCCTCTTCGGTCAAATTCATTGCTGCTTCCTCAACATTGAAGCGGACCTCCCGCACCTGGAGAAAGCGCTTGTGTTGAGCCCGAACGAAGGCGAATGCATGCGTCGGCATATGCTCCGAAATGAATCAGAAACAACATGCTCTGGGGTGACAAACGAAACAGGCTTCTTGTGCGTTTCAAACAATTGAACCCCACATGCAAATGGCGATGTTCTCAGCACCTTATTTATCCGGGAAATGCCAAACCCAATCTCGTAACAGGTGGCCTCATCTAGGATTTCATTGCACATCTCTTCCGCCTTCAGTTGCAAATGTATCCGGGTTTCAAAGAGCACAAATGTTTGGGTATGACTACGGTATGACACCTGCAAGCATTGTAAACAAAGGCGAAACAAAACAAGCGTGAAACACTAGGTCAACCTGTATTGACATGGTATCAACTGCGTTGTCATTAGCCAAATGCTTGTTAACCCAGCTCAATTCAGCATAGCGCATGTTGACTCACATCAAGCTCAATACACATGAAGAGAACACGAAGCACCAAGCAGGTAGAGAGAGTCAGGCAGTCAGCGGTCTGGTCTGCAAAAATCTGGGCATTGCCCAAGCTCCTTTTGTCTCTCTGGTGTCCAAATTAAAAGGCAAACCCCAAAGTGATGCGTGCCGGACAAATGTCAGCTTGCATTCTATAAAGTGGCATGCTCAGCAATTTTGCTCCGTGCGCATGTTGTTTGCAACGAACATCATCGTACTCTCTTGCACTTTGCGTTCAATTACCAAAGATTTGATGGAACAAGGTGGCCTTTGCTTCATAAGGGCCCAACGTGGTTCGTAGCAAAAACATCCTGTTCGCCAGTGCCCTGGCGAGACTGAGCCGTCGAGAGTTCTCAAGACATCCTGACTGAAGGTCTTCATGAGATTCTCCATGTCTCCCTGCTTAAACAGGAAAGCAAGAATGCTCTCCACTTGACACTCTGCGCCTGTCCAGGAGCCTGCTTTGGTTGCATTGATTGCAGCAACTCAAAAATATTTGCACACCTCAGATTCTTTCGCTGACTCTTTACACTGTTCATTCAATCCTTCTTAAAACAATGTATTGAAATTGCTCAACACCTTGCCTTATGAACTGTTGAAACCTGTCTCCTTTCTTGTCCTTGCGTCTAGCCGAGAGGCATTTTTGTCCGAAAGTCGATCTCTGCATTGGGATGCATTCCGAAGAAAAGAGGTGATTCTGGAGGCATTGTCTCCTGGGTGCATGAACACTTTGAATCTATCTCAATATATAACCTGAAGAGCGGCTAACACAGGAGCCACTTGTCGGCCATTGACTAGCGGCTAAATCAAGTTGAGGCACAATGTGCTCAAGGTACTTCTCATGTGTTCCTGGACCAGGTGACTTCCAGCTGAGCCCTTCTGCCTTAGCCCAACACAACAACAATGAACATAAATGAACAATGTTTTGCCATGCAATTCCTTGAGGCACTTCAGAAATTATGGGCCGGCGGCTGCGCAAACAAAAGCCAATTATCGCTTCGTGGTGCTTGTGTGAGAAATTATGCACCAGACTCTTCCTCCACCCCTCACTTAACTTGACCAGCCCTTTGTCCAAAATAGAAGCAATGGCCTCCAACCTATAAGCATATACTGTATGTGATTTTTTTGGAACTTGGGAAAGGTGGACATATATGTGCGCTTGGTGATCTATATATACATATGTATATACATTGCACAAATGATGTGCTTCTCCAGACTCGTTCTTCCAGCACCGCCTTTCAGCCCTTCCTCCCCTTTGTCAAAAACTAACTTGTCAAACATGCTGCAGGTTGGCTGCACCGGGCCGCACTCCTCTTCCCCAAACAGTAGCGAGGCCCTTGGTTGCTAGTAGCTTTTTGTTACTAGTAACTAGTAGCTTTTTGTTACTAGTGGTAATGCCAGGAGCTACTAGTAGCATCCTTGCTCCTAGTAGCGATGCCAGGAGCCCCTAGTTGCGTCCTTGCTCTTTCTCACCTTCGGGGGCAGTTGGGTCTCAGTTACTTCTGACTTCTCCCTTCGCAATCCTTCGCAAGGCGAAGACAAGCCGCATATGGCACAAGTTCCATCTCATCCAGAATATCGTCCTGGAACAGGATTGCAAAAACACACTCGCAAAAGCACTCCCGGCGCAATCTAAGTCTGACTATGAAGTTGGTAACCATCTCTGCATTATGCCTGCTAGGCGCCCGCTTTCTGTCCTGCATGAAATAGCTCAGGTACTTCCCGCACATCCGTCTATCCCAGTCGTCAACAATGTGGCCTTTGCAGGGGATGTTCGATCTCCGGGTCATCCACGTACCTCCTTTGAACTGAAACGTTCTTTAGGACTTCTTTTGCTTCTACTTCTTTCTTGGCAACTAGAAGCTTCTAATTCCAATAGCTTCTTGTTACTACTAGTAAGGCACTTGTTACTAGTAGCGATGCACTTGTTCCTAGTAGCGAACATTGTTTCTACTCCTTTTTTGTCAAAGAAATATCAAACAGGACCTCCATACATGATCTCGCCAAAGATGTAGCGCAAGTCTTCCCAAGGGATCTTGACTGCCGTGGACCCCTGCAACGAAAAAGGCAACAAATGGCCAAGGAAACATGCCCTGCGTTGACAAGATTTCTTTAAAATTGAACTTGTGCATGAAACATCATAATATGTTGACAGTATGCTATTACTAGAACCCCGTGTAACCGCTCTTGGTTTATCGCCTCCAAGTAATTGTAGAGCACGGAGGCCGAGTCACGCAAGTCTCCACTGGAAAATGGATATTTCCTGCAAAAAAAAGAACACAACAGAACCGTTCACGTGGAAAATGGATAAAGCGGATGTTCGTCCAGTTGCGCAGCATCTTGAGACTATGTCTAAGGGACCGGCATGTTGTAACCCAACGGTCCGAACTTCTTCCGCTCCAGCATCAAGGAGTGAAAATGACACAGAGCAAAGAGAATCGACCTGAAAAGTGTGTTCTCGTTGTCTTTGATTCAGCTAAGGGATGCTGAATCAATGAGGAACAAAAGAACACATGCATAATAGGTGCCATATACTCTACAGTACCATTGAGATTATTGTTGTGGATCTTGGTCAGTGACTTGATCTTGCTGTCTCGTTCATCAAATTCCTCTCTGTTGAAGAGGGCAAACGATCTCCTCAATAGAAGCAAAATGAAGCAAGCAAGGCAACGTGTTTGTCGCACAAGAACACGGAGACTCTCAATCTCCTCAGGTTGGCCAAAAGACCTTGTGGTGGCTCGTTGGTCAGTTTGATGGAACGCTCCAACAAACCAATTGGGATTCCTGGCCTCGACGAAAAATCGATCGCTTCGATGATTTCGCTGTGCTCACTGGGCTTGGCACGATGGATCTGCTGACAAGAAAAGCCGGAAGTAAGGATTGCTGTTCCTTGGAGTTTCGTTACACGATGTGCCTTACTACTAGGAACAAGTGCCACGCTAGTAGTAACAGGTGCCTTACTAGTAGTAACAAGAAGCTACTAGAAACAAGTGTCTTAAATTCATCAAAGATCTTCGTCTCAGGTTCGCGCTCTACTGCAAAGGCATCCAGCCTCTTCTCTAGTATAGCCTCCAGTGAAAAAATCTCCAAAATGTGTGCCACTTTGGGGCCACCACAACAGCTCAAACGTGGCTTGTGCACATTGTGGACGTGTGGATTGGCGTATTACCGTGTGGTATTTAGTTGGGCCCAAGTCTGGTTGGAACAGTGCACCGTACTGTGCACAGTGTCTTTGGCCAAACTGGCAGAGTCGAAGGAAACTGACCGAAGCAAAAGCTCAACATGAACACATCGAAATAAAACAAACTGCTTGGAACAAGTGCCACGCTACTAGTAACAGGTGCCTTACTAGTAGTAACAAAGAAGCTACTAGGAACAAGTGCCACGCTACTAGTAACATAAAACAAACTGCTTGGAACTGTTGACAAAAACGTTGGAGCCGTCCCACGAACCCTTTTCCCCGCATCTTTGTGTGAGGATTTATCTACGTCCTGTTGCCCACCGTCCACCGTCCGCCCACCCTCACACAACACAACACTCTTACTCACTAACTTGCACTTACTCATTCGCACAGTCACTCGGGTGCACCTTGCACTCACCGACTTCACATCACTTCACTCCACTTCGCTCACTTCACTTCGCTCACTTCACTCTCGTTCACTCACTCACTTCACTCCACTCACTCAGTTACTCCACTCACTCCCACTCTCACTCTCACTCAAGAAAAAAGTAACAAAAAAGGGAAACAAGAAGGCGCAGCAAAGAAGGCACCACCAAGTTCAACAATCAGTTCCAAAAGCGTTTGGTAAAACAACAAAAAGCAACACCTTCAATGAGCTACCATGCCCCAGCTTTTTAGCTGTTCCAAAATTAGGTGGTGCAAAGAAGGCCCCAAATTCAATTGCCTACTGTTCTGACAAAAATCAGGGTAGCAAGGCAGGCACCAAATTCAACAATCCACGTACTGTCCAACAAATTGGCGCAGCAAGAAAGCACCGCACCCCATGAGCTACTGCATGCAAAAGTTCTTCGGAAACAAAGCAGAGAATTCAATGACTACTGTTCCAAAGAAAGGTTGTGGTGCAGGGAAGGCTACTTCTTCAAGCGGGAAGAAACAGGCGCAGTGTCCAGTGATGCTTGCGTCGGCATCATTTCACCACCATGGGCTGCTTCGAGGCTGGCAAGCGCCTTCGTCACATTGCCTCCAACAAAGTAGCGCAATTCAAGCTACGCATGGAACATCATATAGCGTTGTGTTTCATATTGTTTGTGATTGCTCTATGCTTTGGTTTGGTGTAGCGCTTGGTGTAGCAAGCATGAGTTTGTTTCCCAAGTAGCCATTGCTTCCACCCTCCCTGGAAAATAGAAGGGTGAACCATGTTAATATGACTTGGTGTCACATTATGGCGTCCAATCATGTCCAATCTATGTCACATTATTTGCATTGTACTGGACATGCTAGCGTGGGGTTCCCTCTCCTCTCCTCCTCCCGCTGTACTCCTTCCGCCGCTCCTGCTCAGCAATATCCTCAACTCAACTCACTCACATAAATTCACTCTGACTCTGACCAAAATACTTACACCAAAATTGAACACACCAACTCATCTCGCACCCAATCACCCAATCACCCACTCACCCACCCACTCACTCACTCACTCAGCCGCTCTCATTCCTCTTCTTCGTGCTTTTGCCTCCACTTGTTATAAGCACTAAAGCTTCACATGTGGGGTTATCCGGTCCTTTATGGTTGTTCGGAACAGGAATGGGCGAATCAAACCATATAAGAATGCACCTCAGGAATGGTATTCCGTTCTATTGCTGCAGCATTTCATATAGCAGCTGGCCTTCTCCCGTTTTGTGTACACAGGTGCTATGGGATGCTCCAGGAATTCCTCCCCTCGACCTCGTCTACGTCTACTCTACGTGCTCTGTTCCTCTTTCTCTTGTCCGATTTCCGTATCTTGGGGCCCATGACATCTCATGACCAAGATTGCACACACACTCATGCAAGTAAGGCACTTGTTACTAGTAGCGATGCACTTGTTCCTAGTAGCTTCTTGTTACTACTAGTAAGGCACTTGTTACTAGTAGCGTGGCACTTGTTCCTATATATATATTATGTAATATGAGTCAATACATGAGTCCCACCAGCTAAGTCATGTTCTCCGGTGAGACTACTCACACCAGAGTGTCGTGCAAGCTTTCGGCACCGAGACTGGTCACAGTGATCTCCGTTCGTTTTGCTCCAAAGGGCACACCAAGAAGGCATCAAGTGGATATTCTGCAGCATGACCTGTCTGCGAAGCACACGAATTCTTTCATAGTTTCTTGGCATAGTGTGCTTCGCAGGTTGCCGCGATCTAAGTAGCAGGCCCAGTGGCCCTCCTTGGACCCTAGCTCCAGCTTTTGCATCGCAATCTCATCCTGCAGAAATTGATGTTTTTTGGTCACAAAAAAGCTACTAGTAACAAGTGCCACGCTAGTAGCAACAGGTGCCTTACTAGTAGTAACAAAAAGCTATTAGAATTAATTTAAACATGCTTACCTTAAGTTCTCCAAAAATCTAGGAATCAAATCATTAGCGCGAGCGCTTCTTCAAGGAAGATGTGTCCGTGGCGAATACAACGCGTTTGCAACGCCCTTGCAACAACGCAATAGCTTCATCTGAAAAGTCTCTGTGATCTCTACCATTGCGTATCTCACTGCGTGTCCCATCTTCCAGTCCTGCCCCTGGCCCATGGCAACATTGTGATAATTCACATTCGCTTGCAATCCAATCATCGTCTTCCCCAAGGCCTCCACCTCAAAAGCTCAAATTGTACACACGCACTTCGACAAAGCGCACAAAACACAGCTCTTGCATCTCCAACACTAAGGAAGTCTAAATTACAGAAGACTTTACATGCGCTCTTTGTTCCTAATCGTTCACATTAAGCACTTCCTCTGCATCCACTTACACTGATGCTTCCTCGTCCTTGGATTTCTTACCCAGCCCTATCCCTCAAAATGCCTCCTTCACAGGGTCAGCACCAGGCGACAGAATGAAAAAGAACGGCGTGGTGCTGGTGGAGTCCTCAAAATGTCAGCAAACCGTTGAAGAAGCGGAAAAGAAGCAGCTTGTGCCTCGAAGGAAGAGCTGAGAACCTGCAAGGAAAACACCATATTCAGGAAACACACATTCGAACACACCAAAAACAACGAAAACACCTTCTTCATTGCTTGTGGAATTTGGGGTTTCTGCACACGTCGGGCGTCGGGACATGAGTAGATTCGGGCACTATTGCCCCACGCCTTGTAGAAGGAGAGTGAAGCATCACAATCGATGAAGGCTCGGCCGTTTGGAAGGCTTTGCCTTCGGACCAGTCTGCTTGCGCCACACTTCACATTAGCGCATACTGTTTGAATGTTTCATCGCCGCCCTTACCCCTCCCTGGAATCTGTGCTTGCCTTCTTAGAATACAAATGCAAGCATCCAGATTGTTTGAGGCTTGTGTTCGGGGCCGCACTTCTATCAGGCACCTGATCCACTTCGCAAGAGCCGAGGACATTCGATCTGGCCGCAAGCATCGGATCACCAACCTCAAGAAAACGGACGGGAACATTTCAGTCGTGAAAGGTCTCTCAGGGATACATGATAACTTACCTGATAGCGTCCTTGTTCCTAGTAACGATGCCAGAAGCCCCTCGTAGCGATGTCCTTGTTACTAGTAGCATGGCACTTGTTACTAGTAGCGATGCACTTGTTCCTAGTAGCTTCTTGTTACTACTAGTAAGGCACTTGTTACTAGAAGCGATGCACTTGTTAATACATCATGTCCATATGTTGTCCAATCACATCTCTTGCGCGGGAACTAGTTGGACTCAGCTCCCAGCAGTTTCCTCAGGCCAGCATGAAAATCCTAGCAACATCTCCTGAACCTATATACAGCTAGAATGGTTTCATCTAGTAGCCACATATGTCTCCAACAACGAATTTGACTTCTCAAAAAAATGAATCAATGAGTTGAAGATGAAAAACACCAAGTGGCCGAAAATATTTGGCATCCAGCGCTTTCCAATCCAAAGGCAGTTTGGCTTCCTGGAGGTCAAGGCGGCAAAAGGATGAACAAGAAACTGAGTGCATCGCTACTAGTAACAAGTGCCACGCTACTAGGAGCAAGGACGCTACTATCCTAAGGGCAAATGTTCATGTCTAACATGTTTCAAGTCTTACGGTCCTCGGGGGCCTGCTCAGCCACCCAATCTCGGAAACCTTCAAGTCAAGAAATGTGATTGAAAGACCAATCCTAACCTTGATTAAATACTTAATGGTGCACATCTGAGAGCAGAACGATTCGGTGCGTCACGTTCCATATTCTGCCTGAAACCACTAAATTCAAGCCAAAAACAATTTGTTTTCGGAATGTTCCACCAACGTTAAAATCGACATTGAAAAACATTACATTTTAAACGGCACAAGGTCATGTCTTCAACATGGATTGCTCTTGCTTTTCACCAAGGGACGCAAAATTTTCGAAACCTTCCAGCTCCACCAGCTTCAACACCATTGCCTAAGGCACAAGGAAAAACAAGCACAATTTCAACTACGACTCGATCACAAACAATGACACTACTACTAGCTTCTTGTTACTACTAGTAGCTTCTTGTTACTACTCTAGCACCTGTTACTACTAGCGTGGCACTTGTTACTAGTAGCGTTCTTGTCACAAACAATGACACTAAGATTGCCTCGGATCGATCGCGTGCGTTCTTCCGCAACCAGTTCACCTACCCACTTCTCTCTTGGGCTTGCACCCAACTCTTGTCCGGCAACCAATCTGCTAAAGGGTTCTCGCCAATGTGGGGCACCTCAGAACGCAACCCAAATGCCCTGTGAACTAATAGTAGTAAGGCACCTGTTACTACTAGGAAGGCACTTGTTCCTAGTAGCTTCGGGTGTGCAATCGGACGTTCCGGGGCATTTTGAGACGGACACTGGACATACATATTGAGGCCACACGGTGGCACCCACTCAAGGGATCTCAGGGACAAGCAATGTCCACTGTTCTATTTCTTTAAGTGTATTACTGTATGGAACACGATTGGAAAACTTGACTGTTGGAACGTGATGTGTCGGAACGTTGCCCAAAATGAGGTAACAATGTATTTCAGCTGACGAGCTGTTTCCAAGTCGTCCACCTGTGGCCCACGTAGGAGGAAGTGGAAATGAGCAGGGACGTAGTCCTGAAGGAGCTTGGGGCACAGCAACAACACACGTCACCACTGAGGCGCAACCAAACAACGTAAACCGACTGCGTCAAGTATCTTTATGCAGTTATAGGTTGGAGGCCATCGCTAGTAGGTGTTCTTTCTCTCCAGTTCCACAATCTTTTCTCCCATTCTACAATTCACAGATCTGTGTGACATGTCAAATGTGGGATCCTCCAACCTCAAGTCCCGTCTCTCTTTCTCTCCTTCTCCTACCACTTTCAAACCTTTAGATCTTTGCCTGTCGTTTTTTTTCTTTTGGAACCTTGAGAGCTGCTTTTCTCTTTTCGGTTCTGCACCTCTTTGTCCTTCGTGTTCCCTCTTGACCTTTCTGTCTGTTCCCTATTTTTTCGACCTTTAGACCCTCAAGTCCTTGTTCCTAGTAGCGATGCCAGGAGCCCCGAGTAGCGTCCTTGCTCCTAGTAGCGTGGCACTTGTTACTAGTAGCGATGCACTTGTTCCTAGTAGCTTCTTGTTACTACTAGTAAGGCACTTGTTACTAGAAGCGATGCACTTGTTACTAGCAGCTACTTGCTGTAGTAAGGCCAGGATCCCCCAGTAGCGTCCTTGTTACTAGTAGCGATTTTCTGTTGTTACTAATAGCTTCTTGCTCCTAGTAGTTTTTTCCTCGTCCTCTACTTTCTTTTCGGAATAAGGTCATCTCACAT